CTCTCCCTGTAATCTTAACTCAACTCTCCCTGTAATCTCCACTTAACTCAACTCTCTCCGTAAACTTAACTCAACTCTCCCCGTAATCTCAACTCAACTCACCCTGTTATATCAATTAAACTCTTCCCTTAATCTCAACTCAACTCTCACTGTAATCTCAACTCTTCCTGTTATCTCAACTCAACTCTCCACGTAATCTCAACTTAACTTAACTCTCCCCGTAATCTCAACTCTCCCGTAACCTCAACTCAACTGAACTCTCCCCATAAACTCAAGTCTCCCTGTAAACTCAACTTAACTCTCCCCGTAAACTCAAAAGAACTCTTCCAATAATCTCAATTTAATTCTATCTGTAATTTCAACTCAACTCTCCCTGTAATTTTAACTTAACTCAACTGTCTCCGTAAACTTAACTCAACTCTCCCCATAATCTCAACTCATCCCGTAATCTCAACGTAACACTCCCTGTTATCTCAACTCAACTCTTTCCGTAACCTCAACTGAACTCTCCCCTAAATCTCAACTCAACACTCCCTGTAATCTGCACTTAACTCAACTCTCTCCGTAAACTAAACTCAACTCTCCCCGTAATCTCAACTCAACTCTCCCCATAATCTCAACTTAACACTCCCTGTAATCTCAACTCAACTCTTCCCGTAACCTCAACTAAACTCTCCCCTTAATCTCAACTTAACTCTCACCGTAAACTCAACTCTTCCCGTAATCTCAACTCAACTTTCCCCGTAATCTCAACTCTCCCGGTAACCTCAACTCAACTCTCCCTGTAATCTCAACTCAACTCTCCCTGTTATCTCAACTTAACTCTCTCCATAAACTAAACTCAACTCAACCCGTTATCTCCACTCAACTCTTCCCGTAACCTCAACTAACTCTCCCCTTAATCTCAAGTCAACTCTCACCGTAATCTCAACTCTCCCCGTAAACTCAAGTCTCCCTGTAATATCAACTCAACACTCCCTGTAATCTCCACTTAACTCACCCCATAATCTAAACTTAACACTCCCTGTAATCTCAACTCAACTCTTCCCGTAATCTCAACTCAACTCTCACTGTAATCTCAACTCTTCCCGTAATCTCAACTCAACCCTCCCGGTAATCTCAACTTAATTTAACTCTCTCCTAATCTCAACTAAACTCTCCACGTAATCGCAACTTTACTCAACTCTCCTCGAAATCTCAACTCAACTCTATCTGTAATCTCAACTCAACTCTCCCTGTAATCTTAACTTAACTCAACTATCTCCGTAACCTCAATTCAACTCAATTCTCCCTGTAATCTCTACTTAACTCAACTCTGCCCGTAATCTCAACTCAACTCACCCTGTCATCTCATTTTAACACTCCCTGTAATCTCAACTCAACTCTTCCCGTAACCTCATCTAAACTCTCCCCTTAATCTCAAGTCAACTCTCACCGTAATCTCAACTCTCCCCGTAACCTCAACTTTAAGCTGAACTCTCCCCGTAAAGTCAAGTCTCCCTGTAATATCAACTCAACACTCCCTGTAATCTCCACTTAACTCACCCCATAATCTCAACTTAACACTACCTGTAATCTCAACTCAACTCTTCCCGTAATCTCAACTCAACTCTCACTGTAATCTCAACTCTTCCCGTAATCTCAACTCAACTGTCCCGGTTATCTCAACTTAATTTAACTCTCTCCTAATCTCAACTAAACTCTCCACGTAATCGCAACTTTACTCAACTCTTCTCAAAAATCTCAACTCAACTCTATCTGTAATCTCAACTCAACTCTCCCTGTAATCTTAACTTAACTCAACTATCTCCGTAACCTCAATTCAACTCAATTCTCCCTGTAATCTCTACTTAACTCAACTCTGCCCGTAATCTCAACTCAACTCACCCTGTAATCTCATTTTAACACTCCCTGTAATCTCAACTCAACTCTTCCCGTAACCTCAACTAAACTCTCCCCTTAATCTCAAGTCAACTCTCACCGTAATCTCAACTCTCCCCGTAACCTCAACTGAGCTGAACTCTCCCCGTAAAGTCAAGTCTCCCTGTAATATCAACTCAACTCTCCCTGTAATCTCAACTCAACACTCCCTGTAATCTCCACTTAACTCAACTCTCTCTGTAAACTAAACTCAACTCTCCCTGTAATCTCAACTTAACTCTTCCCGTAATCTCAACTCAACTCTCACTGTAATCTCAACTCTTCCCGTAATCTCAACTTAATTTAACTCTCCCCTAATCTCAACTGAACTCTCCACGTAATCGCAACTTTACTCAACTCTCCTCGAAATCTCAACTCAACTCTCCCCGTAACCTCAACTTAGCTGAACTCTCCCCGTAAACTCAAGTCTCCCTGTAATATCAACTCAACTCTCCCCGTAATCTCAACTCTTCCCGTAATCTCAACTCTCCCTGTAATCTCAACTTAATTTAACTCTCCCCGTAATCTCATCTAAACTCTCCCCGTAACCTCAATTGAACTTAACTCTCCCTGTTATCTCAACTTAACTCAACTCTCCCCGTAAACTTAACTCAACTCTATCTGTAATCTCAACTCAACTCTCCCTGTAATCTTAACTTAACTCAACTCTCCCCGTAATCTCAACTCAACTCTCCCCGTAACCTCAACTTAACACTCCCTGTAAACTCAACTCAACTCTGCCCGTAATCTCAACTCTCCCCGTAACCTCAACTTAACTCAACTCTCCCCATAAACTCAACTCAACTCTACCTGTTATCTCAACTCAACTTTCCCTGTAATCTTAACATAACTGTCCCCTTAATCTCAACTGAACTCTCAACGTTATCTCAACTCTCTCCGTAATCTTTACTCAACTCTCCCCGTTATCTCATTTTAACTTAACTCTCCCCGTAAACTCAACTGAACTCTTCCCGTAACCTCAACTAAACTCTCCCCTTAATCTCAACTCAACTCTATCCGTAATCTCAACTCTTCCCGTAATCTCAACTCAACTCTCCCTGTAATCTCAACTTAACTCTCCCTGTAATCTCAACTTAACTCAACTCTCCCCGTCAACTCAACTCTCCCTGTAATCTCAACTTAACTCAACTCTCTCCGTAAACTAAACTCAACTCTCCCCGTAATCTCAACTCACCCCGTTATCTCCACTTTACACTCCCTGTAATCTCAACTCAACTCTTCCCGTAATCTCAACTCAACTCTCACCGTAATCTCAACTCTTCCCGTAATCTCAACTAAACTCTCCCCGTAATCTCAACTCAACTTAACACTCACTATCAACTAATCTCAACTCTCCCCATAATCTCAACTTAACTGAACTCTCCCCATAAACTCAAGTCTCCCTGTTACTCTCAACGCAAGTCTCCCAGTAATCTCAACTCAACTCTCCCTGTAATCTGCACTTAACTCAACTCTCTCCGTAAACTAAACTCAACTCTCCCCATAAACTCAACTTAATTTAACTCTCCTTGAAATCTCATCTAAACTCTCCCCGTAACCTCAATTGAACTTAACTCTCCCTGTAATCTCAACTTAACTCAACTCTCCCCGTAAACTTAACTCAACTCTATCTGTAATCTCAACTCAACTCTTTCTGTAATTTTAACTTAACTCAACTCTCCCCGTAATCTCAACTCAACTCTCCCCGTAAACCTCAACTTAACACTCCCTGTAAACTCAACTCAACTCTGCCCGTAATCTCAACTCTCCCTGTAACCTCAACTCTCACTGTAAACTCAACTCAACTCTTCCTGTAATCTCAACTCAACTTTCCCTGTAATCTTAAATTTACATAAACTGTCCCCTTAATCTCAACTCAACTCTCAACATTATCTCAACTCTCTCCGTAATCTTAACTCAACTTCTCCCCGTTATCTCATTTTAAACTTAACTCTCCCCGTAAACTCAACTGAACTCTTTCCGTAAACCTCAACTAAACTCTCCCCTTAATCCTCAAACTCAACTCTCACCGTAATCTCAAACTCTTCCGTAATCTCAAACTAAACTCTCCCCTTTAATCTCTACTCAACTCTCACCGTAATCTCAACTCTTCCCGTAATCTCAACTCAACTCTCCCCGTAATCTCAACTCAACTTAACTCTCCCTGTAATCTCGACTCAACTCTCCCTGTAATAACAACTCAACTCTCCCTGTAATCTCAACTTAACTCAACTCTCCCCGTAAACTCAACTCTCCCTGTAATCTCCACTTAACTCAACTCTCTCCGTAACTCAACTCAACTCACCCCGTAATCTCAACTTAACACTCCCTGTAATCTCAACTCAACTCTTCCCGTAACCTCAACTAAACTCTCCCCTTAATCTCAACTCAACTCTCACCGTAATCTCAACTCTTCCCGTAATCTCAACTCAACTCTCCCCGTAATCTCAACTCAACTTCTCCCCAACTAATCTCAACTCTCCCCATAACCTCAACTTAACTCAACTCTCCCCGTAAACTCAAGTCTCCTGTAATCTGTAATCTCCCAGTAATCTCAACTCAACTCTCCCTGTAATCTCCACTTAACTCAACTCTCTCCGTAAACTTAACTCAACTCTCCCCGTAATCTCAACTCAACTCTCCCCGTAATCTAAACTTAACTTAACTCTCCCTGTAATCTCAACTCAACTCTCCCTGTTATCTCAACTTAACTCAACTCTCTCCGTAAACTAAACTCAGCTTGCCTCGTAATCTCAACTCAACTCTCCCCGTAATCTCAACTCAACTTAACACTCACTATCAACTAATCTCAACTCTTCCCATAACCTCAACTTAACTGAACTATCCCCGTAAACTCAAGTCTCCCTGTAATCTCAACTCAACTCTCCCCGTAATCTCAACTCAACTCTCCTCGTAATCTCAACTCAACTTAACTTATCCCTTTATCTCAACTCAACTCTCCCCGTAATCTCAACTTAACTCTCCCCGTAAACTCAACTCCCCATAACCTCAGCTCTCCCCTTAACCCATCATTCAACTTTCCTCTTCAACTCTTCACTTAACTCTCCCCCTAACTAAACTAGAATGAAAACTGGTTTATTGAAAATATCATAGGAAAAAGTTTAAGAAATTCAGCAGGTTAATTAAATGTTTACAACACAATATAAAGTTGGTGATTGACACATCCCTTCCAATTGATAATATATGCATAATGTCTGTTCTTCTATTACATATCCATAGTTTGAAGTATGTTTCCTGAAATATAAAGAAATACACATTTTATTATATTTTTTTTTTCAACAAATAATTTTTCAACTTGGCAGTATTTTTATTTTCTTAAAGACATCACCTCTGATAATTTCAGCATAAAAGGCAGTTGAGAATCACAATGCAATGTTAATAACTAACATCTGAAAATATTTATTTACTTCACAGCGTTTGAAACTGATGTATCATAATTATACAATTATTAACCAAACAATTAAAAGAGGGCGAAAAATTTGATACTAAACGTTGATTAACATTGTTTTTCTAATACCATTTGTTTTTCCTAAAAAAATTGATCTATATTAAAAACACTACAAGGCATGATTATAAAGATCAAAAAGATATAAATTTCTTAAAGGAAGAAAGAGGTTGTGGGAAATTATCAAGTTACCTATGACTGCCATGTATATATGTAGTTTCTGTCATCTTTATCAGATCTGTATCTGCTAGGATGGGTTTCCCTGAAACAACAATCATTATTTTTGAGTTGGATTGTAGCTTTAAGTGCAATACGTTCTTTCTCCCTGAGATTTCTACACTTCTTCTCAGTGAGATCTATCTCCCTACATAGTTTCATGTTTTATACCTTTTATAGTTCTATAGTTATGTCTCAGACAATGTTCCAAGTGTAAAAACGAACAAAGGGCAATAACTTCAAAATTTGGGCTGGGAGGGTTATGGTTCTTCTGCACTGCACTTCTACTCAAGGCTATATACCTCTAAAGTTTCACGTTTATACCTTTTATAGTTCTCAAATTATGTCCAGGACAAAATTCAAAGTGTCAAAATAAAAAAAGGGCAAAAAACTTCTGAACTGCACTTCTACTCATTCAAATGTATCATTATTATGTTGATACCAGGTTATATAGTTCCCAAGTTATGTCGCAGACAAAGTTCAAAGTGTAACAGTGAACAGAGGGCAATAACTAAACTCCAAAATAAGAGAAGGGATAATAACTGTTATTATGCACTGCACTTCCACTCAGTTAGATCTATCTTGTAACCTACAAAGTGTTAAGTTGATATGTTTCATAGTTCTCAACTTATGTCACAGACAAAGTTCTAAGTGAAACAAGAGCTGTTGGTAGGACAGCAACGCTCGACTATTCTTAGTGTTTGATAGTAAAAAAAAAATGCTTCATACAGTTACCTCCTCCTGTTTACAGGTTGGGGTAATGATGGTGAACAAGTGTGCAAAGTTTCAAAGCCATATGTCAATGGACTTTGAAAATATTTGAGGTATTACAAAAACTTTAACATAAATTCTAAGTCAAAAAAGGGGCATAATTCTGTCAAAATGCTTGATACAGTTACCTTCCTCCTGTTTACAGGTTGGGGTAACGGATGGTGAAACAAATGTGCAAAGTTTCAAAGCCATCTGTCAATGGATTTTGAAAATATTTGAACTATTACAAAAACTTTAACGTAAATTCTAAGTCGAAAAAGGGGCATAATTCTGTCAAAATGCTTGATACAGTTACCTCCTCCTGTTTACAGGTTGGGGTAATGATGGTGAACAAGTGTGCAAAATTTCAAAGCCATATGTCAATGGACTTTGAAAATATTTGAACTATTACAAAAACTTTAACATAAGTGGTTACGCCGACGCCGATGCCGACGCAGACGCTCTGGTGACTACAATAGCTCTACTTATTCTTATCGAATAGTCAAGCTAAAAAGGGAAATAACTCCAAATTAGGCAAAGCAGAGTTAAAGTTCTTTTGCAATGTACTTCTACTCAATAAGATCTATCTACCTACACAGTTTCTTGTTAATAACAAGAAACCCCTTGTGGTTTTAGAGTTATATCCCAGACAAAGTTCTAAGTGTAAAAATAAACAAAGGACAATAACTCCAAAATTAGGCAAGAAAGAGTTATCTTTGTTTGCACTGCACTTCTACCCAATGAGATCTATCTACCTACAAAGTTTCATGTTGATAGCTCTTACATCATATATATATATCATTATATAAGAGTAATGTCCAGGTCAAAGTTCAAAGTGTAAAAATAAACAAAGGACAATAACTCCAAAATTAGGCAAGACAGAATAATGATTCTTTAGCACTGCACTTCTACCCAATGTGATCTATCTACCTACAAAGTTTCATGTTGATACCTCTTATAGTCTTAAAGTTATGTCCAGGACAAAGTTCAAAGTGTAAAAATAAACAAAGGGCAATAACTCCAAAATTAGACCAGACAAAGTTATGGTTTTTTTTGCACTGCACTTTTACCTAATGTGATCTATCTACCTACAAAGTTTCATGTTGATACCTCTTATAGTTTTATAAAGGGCGATTACTCCAAAATTGAGCAAGACAGAATTATGATTATTAAGCACTGCACTTCTACAAAATGAGATCAATCTATCTATAAAGTTTCATGTTGATATCTCTTATAGTTTTAAAATTATGTCCAAGATAAAGTTCAAAGTGTAAAAATAAACAAAGGGCAATAACTCTAAAATTAGGCAAGATAGAGTTATGGTTCTTTTGCACTGAACTTTTACCCACTGTGATATATCTACCTACAAAGTTTCATGTTGATATCTCTTATAGTTTTAGAGTTATGTCACGGACAAAATTCAAAGTGTAAAAATAACAAAGGGCAGTAATTCCAAAATACATTTACTCAATGAGATCTATCTACATACAAAGTTTCATGTTGATACCTCTTGTTGTTTCAAAGTTATGTCTTGGACAAGAATGGCAAACAGATGGACAAAGCGGCTATGGGGAGCATAAAAATTCAAAGATATCACAAGAAGAACATCGTTATATTTCCTATAACTTGCCCATGCGACCACATGTATTCATCACATCAACTGACTTCTTAAAGGGACTCCACTGAGGTTTTTTGACATGATGGGACTGAAAATATTTTTTCCAGATAAATGTACCATTTGATGTAGGTTTAGACCACAAATCTTTGTACAAAATGTCAGATCATTCGCGCACTTCGTTTTTGCAGAATAATTATTCAAATTGTAAAAAAATGACAGAAAATGAAAAGCGTTTAAACGCTTTTCACTCAAATCGGGATAAGAAAAGCATAAAAATACGATTTTCAATTTATTTCAAAGTACATTTCTTAACTATCTTTGCATATATTTCTGTTTAAAGTGCCCCAGCTCATTTATGTAAGAAATTCAAATGTTATGTTTTAGGCTTTTAAACCTGTCAAGTGTGAACGTCGTAGCCTCGTGATGTCAAGAGTGTTAACAATCAATACGCAATACTGTATAAGTGGATTATTTTGCAAATGTCAAAAAGAGGAATTTTTGTATGCGGATTTATTTGTGAAAATATGATTCCTTTAATTTTATATCTATAATCAAGCAGGTACATGTTAAGAATATGTTGCTTTTGTAATCATTCTATACAGTAACTTTACATCTTTATTATTTATATAATTGTTTGAAATGTACATTTCTTTGTCATATTTTGAAACATTTTTTTTGTTATATGAATAACCTTTTGTGTTATTTATATATTATTTCATTAAAACACAAACAAGCAATGAGAACAAGAACTGTCAGAGGACAGTAATGCTCAACTATTCGAAAAATTGTCACAATTAAAAAAAAGTGTGTTTCATTGAATATAATAATGCTTACCTATATGAATACATAAAATTTATCAAGTTAATTACTGCTTTATCATTATAAATGCATAAATTTGTTCCAAAAAAGGCAAAAACCCTTCAGTAGTTTATAATGGAGATACTAGCTTACAAGCAAAAACTTTACCAAGAATTTCTAAGCCGAAAAAGGTGCATGATTATGAAAAAAATAATCAGAATTATGGGACTTGTGCCAATCATGTTAAATAATCACAGGGAACATGTGTGTGAAGTTTAAATCCATTCCGTTTAGTTGTTATGCAGATACCAGCTTGCACGCAAAAACTTAACCAAGAATTTTGAAGTCGAAAAAGGGGCATAATTATGCAAAAAAGCAAATCAGAGTTATGGGACTTGTGCAAATCATGTTAGATTAGCATTGAGAACAAGTGTGTGAAGTTTCAATCCATTCCCTTCAGTAGTTATGGAGATACAAGCTTGCACACAAAAACTTTACCAAGAATTTCTAAGTCGGACAAGGGGCATAATTATGTAAAAAAGCAAATCAGAGTTATGGGACTTGTGGCAATCATGATGAATAATCACAGAGAACAAGTGTGTGAAGTTTCCATCCATTCCCTTCAGTAGTTATGGAGAATACCAGCTTGCACGCAAAAACTTAACCAAGAATTTCTAAGTCGAAAAAGGGGCATAATTATGCAAAAAAGCAAATCAGAGTTATGGGACTTGTGCCAATCATGATAGATAATCACAGAGAACAAGTGTGTGAAGTTTCAATCCATTCCCTTCAGTAGTTATGGAGATACTGCTTGCATGCAAAAGCATAACCAAGAATTTCTAAGTCGAAAAAGGGGGATAATTTGGCAAAAAAGCAAATCAGAGTTATGGGACTTGTGCCAATCATGTTATATAATCACAGAGAACAAGTGTGTGAAGTTTCCATCCATTCCCTTCAGTAGTTATGGAGATACCACCTTACACGCAAAAACTTAACCACGGGGACGCTGACGCCAACAAATGGGTGACTGCATTAGCTTGATTATTCTGCGAATAGTCGAGCTAAAAATTAATCTCAGTACCTGAACATTTATACTTATTCATGTAAGATGCTGTCACATGAAAATGAGTTTTCAAATGATAGACGAAAGTTTGTCTAAAAAGAAATCAATTTTGCGTGATCAATTATTTGCGAATAATTTCAATATGCAAAAATCGCAAATATACAGTATATGAATATTTTTAGCATATGCAAATGAATAAAGTACACATGTGATGGGTATTATCGAATTAATTAAAAGAACAAATCAAAGCTTTGTCCCTACTGTGATGGGGTATATGCTTCTGTTAATATTTAGATTGCATTGACTTGACCTTGAACTTGATTAGCCATTAATCAATTGTTACAATTAGATGTACTTTATCTATTTCAAATCAAAAGTACACAATTAACAGAGAGCTTATGTGATTTTTAGTGTCAGGGACAAGAAAAAACAATAGAGGGAAAAAATGTTTAACATGTACATCTACGGGTTCGTCCAATTACCCCTAGACACCCCAAGACTTAACCGCAAGACACCCAAAGTAACTTATCTATTGTGTTAATCATATACAACCCCCCCCCCAGTGATAACCAAAGGGGAGAAACTACGTACAACCAATGATAATATTGGAATTATCTCCCTGAGGTAGTGTGACAGGTTGGAAGTAAATAAATAAGATGTTCTTCTCCCTAACTTGTTGGAATTAAATACTTGATGTAATTTTGCAATTCTTCAAAATTTAATAATATGTTTGTTTGTATGCGGTAACATAAAATATAGCTAGAATGCCATGATTATACATTATGACATTCAGTTTTAACAGATCAGAACAAATTTTTTTTTTTCAAACATATATTTTGTAATAACTGTTTAAACAAATATGTCAAGCAAAAAATGACATTGTCACAGAAACAAACTTGCACCAGTAACCCTGGCATTATTTCATTGTTTTAAACTATTTTGCACAAAAGGAATATACTTATAATTATCATGATTCTTACATTAAAATCAGTAAAACAATTACAACAATGTCAGACAAGAAATGCAGGGTTTTTTTATTTATCATTCCATTCAGAGTTATAATCAGTGAAATATGGTTTATCACTTGTTGGCATGTACATGTGAAATTCATTTTCTCAGAAGGGAGATAATTCAATGTGTACACATAGTTACCTCCCTTAAATAATGTAAAATTATTCCACATTTACATGATGTCAGTTAAAGTGTCTTGGTAGCCTTTGGGTGTCTTGGCATAGTCTTGGGGTAGTCTTTTGGTAATTAGACTGACCGAGAATTACGTAATGTATCAAAACTGATCAGAAAGTCATTTTCTTATTTTGGCATCTATTAAGATTATCAGAGTGTTATAATTTTTAAACATTTATATAAATGTAATTGAAAAACCTCACCAAAAAGGAAAGATATCATAAATTTTAACTTTCTCTCATGCTTTGTTCCTGCAACAGTTGCATTAAGGAACTCCACTGATTTTTTTTAACTTGACGGGACTAGAAATATTTTTCCAATATTTAAGAATCATTTGATGTAGGCCTAGACCAATAACTTAAAGTGTGCAAATTTTCAGATCATTATCACACCTTCTTATACCAGAATCATCCATTATTAATGAGCAAAATGCAAAGCGTTGCAACACTTTTCGCTCAATTGGGCTACAAATTACACAAAAAAATTGATTTCCAATTTAATTTCGGGCATACTCTTTTGTCAGCCTTTGCATATTTTTCCATTTTAACTGCTTCACTTGATCTATGTACAAATAAATGTTTTATGTTAATTTTTGGTGTTTCCCTTCAATACACTTTTAACTGTATTCAAGAGTAACTTATAACGCACTTGACATTATCAAATTTGCCTCAATTTTGAGTTTAATTAAAAAAATATTTTTTATTGAATAGTTCAAAGAAAAAAAAGAAGAAAAAAAATACAAATTAACTTCTTTATTGATTTAACCACTTTGCAATTTCAATTTAAACACATACACATGTTAAATCCCCATGGCCTAATTTGATCTGTAAATGAAGATATTTCCAATGACTTACATGTATCAATCTATTTATAATAACTTCTTTAAAGTTTGGTTATTTATTTTCACCACTTAATTATCAATCTTGACTTATTAAAATGTGATAAATGTGCACATGTCTAAAAAAATTATAATGAATAAACATTTATTTCTACCCTTTTTTTATGGTTCAACTAAATAGTGTCCATCTATCATCACTCTACAGTATTTAGTGAGCTGTCTGTCCAAGGTTGACATGATTGACATCTGTAATAACAAAATATAAATCAGATTTTCAAAATGAAAATAGATTTCTGCATGAGGATTAATGTGTCTTAAAATTTGATGAAAATAAGCAACCACACAAGCACTCCCTATATTATTTCTGGGATGATCTATTAATGTTATTGTAAACATGCATATACAACTTTATGTATAACTTGGTTTAATTTAAGGTGCATTAACCTTTAAAGCATATTTGAACAAAAGAGTTAAAGATAACTTAAAAATTAAACATTGCTTTTTATAATGATTGATAAATGTATTGGTTTGTTTTGTTTTTCCTTTTTTCATTGGTTTGGTTATATGTTAATTGCACCATATGGTTAGTGGCAAAGGACGGCCACACCTTCAATGCATTATTTCAGGCAAAAAGGGGCACCTAAGTAGAACCACTGACGTTTTTGTAAGCTAGCAGGGCAGCTTCCTCACAAGAAAGAATTAAAATCCCTTTCATGATTATTCCTCTTTTAAATGAACTCAAAGAAGGGACCTTTTCTAAAGACTTTGTATTTATAAATTAGATTTTTTGTCAAGAAACTGACAATTTTTTTCATTAACCTTATATAATTTATTTTCTATCTATATATGGTTGCTATGGTAAACATATGAGTTTTGATGGTTTTGTTTGTTTGTTTGGATTTTTATGGCATGTCAACACATAACTGACCATATCATGTCCAATGCTATAATAGGCTTAAAATGTTATGTAAAACTTTGTAAATGACAATAAAAGAGTTTTGATGTAAACAAAGGAATTCTCTGGACCGTAAGTAATCAAACACACAGCGTCCGGTCATCACATGTAAACAATATATTAAATGGAAAAGAATATTGAGATATTTGTTTGACTAGCAATTGAAAATGCAAAATATTAATATGGAAAACAACTACATGTATGTGTAGTTTATGTGTGTTATTTTGATTTGTTTGACTGACATATAGTTGTAAAAGCCATGTACACTAAATGTAGCAGCAGCCAGACACATGACGCTTCATAGCAACCATGTTGAAAACGTGAATGGTAACTGAGATAATGGCAAAGCGCATATGTTAAATTCCAAATTATAATGCAAGTAATAGTTCTACAGAGTGCTCTCCTCTTAATTTTTTGTACGGAGTATTTTCATTGGTCTAAGGTTTTCACACGACCAATGAAAATACTCCGTTTATACATGTGTACTTTCATTTTGGATTGGAGAATTTGGCATATCGGAAAAAAGGTTTGTTATAGTTTTATAAGATGTTTTGATTGAACAGTTATTACAAATAATAATATAATTTGATCATATTTATATGCGCAATACAATGAAATATTCATTCATTTCGAATAAACTGCCGTTTAGTCCGGTAATTTTGAAGAAAACCCAGCGGTCAGATCACTGTCGAGTTACACTTGCGGTGAGTTTGAGATTACACATCTTCTGATAACTTGAAATGATCGTAATGACAGCTTTATTTCCTTCAAGAGTAATCAATTCCCTACCATTTGGTACCAAAATATTGAAAATTGGTGAAAAAATGTTGAAGTTATGGAGTTCATATTAAGATGAGTGCTGAAAATTGAGCGGCGAGTTGCATACCTTTACTAAATATATATGTATCAATTTTTTATTTTTTGTAGGAAATGAAGGTTATTGAATTAAAAGCATAAACCAAATATTAAAACATGTTTCAAATGAAAAATACTGTATTTTACATGGTTTTGAGAGGTAGGAGGGCTGTAGAGTGGGTGTGGGGGTGAGGGGGGGGGGGGGTGCGCGGGTAGTGACCAATCAACGCGCCGAACACCTATGAATTGAATAAGAAGGATGGTGAAATGAATAAATATGTTTACTATAATAAGGTTAAAGATTTGTTTTAATAGTAGACCATATTCCTGGGTAATTAACTGATCATGATTACCATTTTCGATAGATTCTTAATAATGAAAATTTTACCAGGCAGTTAAATCGTACTAACTTGCTTATACCAGAGATATAGATAATGTATCTATGTCTCTGCTAATATACAGTATCCAAAAGATATTTTGAGTTTCAAAAATGTAAGGATTCTGTAGTTTCGAAAAACGGCTGCGTAATAATTAATTGCAAGATACTGGTTTATTAAAAATCATTTTGATTTAATCATTACTAAGACAAAGAAAAGAAAACAATATAAATCTATGTAATTTCAAAAAAAAAAAAAATAAAGGCATAAAAAGTAAAAATTCTTTTGAATGTACATGACTGTATACTATTTGTGTTGGCAAAAAATGCACTCTCAAAAATCGTACATCACACCAATAATTAAGCTGGTAAAGTAATATTTTCAACTTGATACTTTTTAATTCATACTCTGCTTATCAAATATTTAAAAAAAACAAGTTTTGAAACACGTTCACAGTAATTTGTTATTAACTGAATTATAATTTTACGTATTTTTAACTGTGCCAGTTGGTAGGACTATGGATCGAGTATCAAATCAGTAAGGCATGACCAATAAAGTCCCTAGGATGATCCATAACAAAATTCGGACCATGAATATTTTGACAACTAACAAAAGTGACGTAATATGATGTAGTTATAACTCTAAAAATGCTCCCTGGTGATTTATGATATCACAGCCAAGTGCCGCTTGTATATGTAATAGATATACCATTGCTGCGTTGACGATTTCTGGGTTTGCGTAAATTATACCATAATCACGTGACCTTTCTTATGCATTAACCTCACGAGACGAAGTCTATACCATAATCAAGTGACCTTTCTTATGCATTAACCTCACGAGACGAAGTCTCGTGAGGTTAAGGCATAAGAAAGGTCACGTGATTATGGTATAATTTACGCAAATCCAGAAATCGTCAACGCAGCAATGGTATATCTATTACATGCACCCTGTTAATTAATATGTTACGGCCCAGTGGCGCTTAAATATACACATCTATTTATCTATGAAATAAGTTACTGGGAAAAGGTCTTTAAAGAATAAGTTTTTAATATCAAAATTATCTTATTATCGTCTGTTGCGAATAAAAAATTATAT